GAGAGAGCGAGAGAGCGAGAGCGAGAGAGCGAGAGCGAGAGAGCGAGAGCGAGAGAGCGAGAGAGCGCGAGAGCGAGAGAGCGCGAGAGCGAGAGAGAGCGAGAGAGAGCGAGAGAGAGCGAGAGAGAGCGAGAGAGCGCGAGGGCGAGCGAGGGGGGGAGGGAGAGGGAGAGGGGGAGGAGAGAGGGAGAGGCCCTGCTGTATTTGTCATGTGCATGTTCCCTTCGTCGGGCATGAGTGGCGCATGTGCCGTTGCAAAACCTGCAAAGTAAAGGATGCCTGCCCAGACTCCCAACATTTCCACCCCATATCCAGCTTCGATTAATTCAAGCATTTTTCGAGCCTTTCAGGACAATACCCTCGGCAACCTCAACAAGTCTCAATTGAGCTTGCCTGACATCCGCACGTGACGCGACTGGAGACCCTGTAAAAGCAAACTGTTGCCATGGAAACCTGTACAAAAAAACTTTCAAAAAACAATCGGTAATGAGCCCATGCCTAAGGCAAATTATGCAGGCTTCGCTAGACAGATCTATGCCCCTTTCCCCGAAAGAGGAAAAGTCACGATCAACGCGGGCTGGCAAATTTTGACTACTGTGGGCATATCCTACAGCCCTGGACTGCGCGGGTAGGAATTGCAATTCAAAATCTTACCGCAATTCGGGGACCACCTATGCTGTAACTTTTTTGCGGTGGACCTGGCTTGACTAGGTGCGTGGTACCCCCTGGAGCTGCTCGAGCTTCAGCAGCTATCCCTGAGACTCAAAGTAGCAATGTCGAAACTTGCGTCTATCGGGCTGAAGTGGCTGAAGGGAGGATTTTGAGTGAAAAGCCTTGAACACTGTGGGGAGGGACACTTAAAGAAATGGAGATTGGTTGCTCTTCGATTGAAGCGCGTTTTCGTTGGAATCGGCTGCAGCTGAAGAATACTATGCGAGAAAACTTGGGAAAAGAACAGAACATGGAGATTCGAGCTTACATGAACACATTTCCTCAAACGGGCTCTAAACCAAAAGTCGTCTTGTGCAGTCAGGCAACATGACCTCCTGGCAATCTTCGTTGTTCAGAGCTATTGGAAGTTGCTCCTCAATCTTATGCCTTCGATGAATTTATTCAAGGTGCCAATGAAGGAGCAAAATGGGACAATGACCCCGTGCACAACAAAATATCAGAAACTGGTCAACCACTGCTTCCAAACACTGTCGACCTGGTGTTCCGAGCCACTGGTTTGCAGCGACTTTTGCCATGAAATCCCGCCGGGTCGAACGCAACAGTTCCTGCATGGGATTGCGTGCGGCCTGCTGATGGATACTGCCATGTCACTTTTCATGAGGCAAAGCAGATGCAACAAAGAGCGGGCAACAGGAGAACGAAGCGGCAACCGACAGCTCGTGGCAAACATGAGCATGTGCAATTTGGGCTTCCTCTTCACTTCGCTCCATCTCCTCCAACTTGCTCTGCCTGGAACTGCCACATTGGCATGGGCATGTTCTTCACTTCGTGGAGACCAGGTGCAGAGAAGGCACAGCAAAACAAGATGCTGCTCCACCTCTTCCGCTGATTTACTTTTGAGATGCACGGTGAGATGCTCCTCTTTGCGCCATGTTTGCTATCAAACATCTTCCGTTCACGAGGCCGCATCGAAGGCTCAATGCTCTCAACAATCGCCGGCTTCCTCCACCAACCGCTCGTGCTGCATCTGCTGCGTCTCATCTGCATCTTCCAGCTGCCCCGGCCCGAGCTGTGTGTCCTGCCGAGACAAGCACAAGAATATCCTGTTGTTTAATGCTTGGCAGGCGGGAGCTCGCTGTGTTCTTGGCTCCCAAGTTCCAAGCTCAACAGCTGGGACTGGGACTGTTGAGACTTCTGCGAGGCTCTGCGCTCACACACAACTGCGCTGATCGGCCTGGGAGAGTTGCAAAGCGCTGGAGCTGGAGCCGTGCCCATTCTGTGGAAAGTAGCCTCCAGCTTTGCAACTGCATCGATTCGATGCAGCAATGAGACCAAGTAGCCGTCAATGCGCTCCTTCATCTTCTGCCGCACAGATGCAGATGCATAGGCATATCCTGAGCGAACGTAGATTGATGCACGGTCAAGGTTTGTGCTGCTTGTACCAGGCCAGATGATCCGAGCGGCCGAAAAGCTTTCGCTTGATGGAGCGGAGCTTGCTAGCCACCTTCTTCATGGCAGACTTCAGATGCTGCCAGAGTTTCTGCACCTCACGTCGCACTGTACCACTGACAAGATCACGCTGATCACCACAGATTCTGAGGGACTTTCTGGACTACCTCCCAAACTGATTGAAATCCCACCCAACCGTTGCACACAGCCTTCGCGAATGCGTTGCACACGGCACAGCGGCCACAAACCGCCATCCTCAGATCAAACCGACTGACGACGCCTTCGAGCCTTTGGGCATGGGACTTTGCAGCACTGGTTTACCTAAGGCCGGGGACCTACCATTGTATGCTTCCGAGATTCTGCTGAAGGAAGGCGACCGGAAGACCAAGCCAGCTCGCTCTCTGGGACTGCTCACTGTACTGCCTCGCCGCTGCGGACATTGAACCGTTGACGCGCAATAATGACACACTGTGTCCGTCGTACACTTTTTGAGAATAACAATAAACGGCAGCAGCAGCACGAACAACAGCAACAGCAACAACCGCTGCAAGAGCAACAACAACGGGCATGACCGAAATCGCGAAAGTTCAGAGGCATGTGCACCAAGCCAAGCCACTCCTGACAGTTCTGCCGGTCCTGAGAGCTGAGGCCCTCGGCGGCCTCCACACCACAGTCCTGGAGAGGCAGCAAGTTGGGGCTACGACGTGCTACGCTACGTCACCAGAGTATTGACATGACGATCCTCGTCGGCAAGGGCCGCATCCACCTGGCGTGAGAAGATGCGAGGAACCCACTACTGAGATTGGCCCGGCGGTGCCTGCTTCGATGCGTCAGGGCCCCATTCGATCGCGGGATTGGGGTGGCAAACCTCAGCAAAGCAGACTCCACACCCAATCGCCCCTTTGGCTTGGTCTGTCTCATGAAATCTGCCGAGATGCCATCGCAACCTCAACCGCTGGCATTGGGTGTGGTGGGAAGATTTCCCATTCCATTCCCACCTGATGCCAGCAACTGGAACAGAGCCACGTCTCTTGGCCGCCAAAACCGGGCGATGCTCAGCAAACCACGTGCTTCTCCATGGAAACCATCTCCGGACAGCTCTGGCAAGAGCCTGGATCGTCCAAGAAGCATGACACGACAGGTCCCACAGGTTGGGTGACTGTTGCAAGCAGCCTACAAGTATTCCATGGTGCCAAGCATTGGTTCTCTGGTCCCGGTTGATTCTTCAAATGCGCAGCCATCGCTCAAAAAGCAGCAATAGTTCAGACATTGTCGGATCGACCCCAACAGAAGACCTTTATGCCCCAGGATGCAGGTCCAGGCGCGACTCTTCGTTACTTCGGAGAAGCGGCGGGCTGCTACGCCTCCACGAGCCGCTTTTAAGGCAAGGCCCAGGGCGGACCCCAAGCAAGAATGGGCAGAATGGGTGTCAACGAGCACGTCGCAGGACCAGGAGGCCTGCCAGAAGATCCGCGACTAAGACGAGGAGGGCACGCATCGCGGCAAGGCTAAGATTGCATTTCACAAAGTCAACGATGGCTAGCAGAAATGCTGCAGGCAAATCCGCACATCGAAAGGAAGAGACTTGTCATGACATGCCATTGCTCGCCCAGCTACAGCTAAAGATACGAAGTAAGTCCTATGCAACCTCTGCGGCCATTTTCCGCATCTTGCGGCTTAGCAGCTTAGCAGCTAGATCACTGAGAGGTGCCGCCCTTTGTTGGCACCGCCGTGCAATCTTGTGTTGCGGACAAGGCATCTACAGTGTCGATGGCGAGGAGGGTGAAGTTGCCGACGTATGATCAACAAGCTGCTGTGCTTTGCATTGGCATCTAAAGGTGATGAACACAGCCATCAGGGTTGGGACCGTTCTTGTGCTTTTGCTTCAAAGCCTCGACCATCATCTTCACGTCCATACTGAGTTTCCTGGAGCCAACGACAAGACACAACAAGAGCTAGACCGTGCTCTCACACATCTGGGCGACAAGAAGCCAGGGCTGTCTAGCATGCTATCACTCTACGTTGAGGTGACGAGTGGCCTTGTCGATACAACCTCCGCTAGTCCATCTATTTGTGTGTTGACCCTCACGCTTTTCTTAAAAGCTTCGTTGTTGTCCGCACGTTTATTGCCTCTCAGCCAAATCAAAAGCACATGTGGAAGCTACACTCTCGTGTGAGGTCGACTCCTGCGGAGCTCTGCACAGAGCCAGTGCCAGACTTTGGCGATAGGCCCTCCTGGGAGCAGGGGGTGCCCTCTGGTCTACCATCGCAGAAAGGAAACTGCGTTTGAACATGGCCGGGCTCCAAACATGGATGTGCCCAGGGCCTAAGAACTTGACAGCAGGAGCTCTGGTCCCCTAAACAACCGGACATAAAGGGGTGGCAATAGCAACAACAGGAGCAGGTTTAACAAGGAGCGCGCCGCACAGGGGATACTGCCAAGCACTGATTGCCGGGAAACAAACGCACCAGTCGCTAAACGCAGGAACAGGCTCGACAGGGCGACAAGGCCTCTGTGACGAAGTCTCAGCTCGTTAACGTTAAGAGCGGCCGGCGAGGCGGTAACATGACCCTTCTCGCATACCTGCAGTTCCGTGGGATCTGTCCGAAAAGCTGGCGCTGTTCGGTTCAACATGGCGCCGCCTCGCCCGGTGACTTTATCAAGTGGACACTCAGGCAGAATGTGAAGGAATCGCTGATGTCACCCAGCAGTCGAAAATGTGAGGGATTACGGTATACATGAATGGAGCTGGTGCCAAAACTTTGTCCGCACAATCACTCTGAAGCGGTCGAAGCTCTGAAGAAGATGTGGATCTTCCACGAAATCGGCAGGGATTGGCATCGGCCACCCAATGAATCGACCCGGGCTCGCATTTCGTGGTGTTGCTGTGCGACTGTCTCCATTTAATGTCTTTTTTTGGTAATCTCAAAAAGGCAGTTCCGCGAGGCATCTGCAAACATATCTCAACGCCAGAGATGCACCAAAAGAAGTATTCAGCGCGGCGATGCACAAGTGCCCTGGAACAGCGCTGAAAAGCTACCCAGTCCCAATCACTACAATGCCTGGGAAGGAAGCAGGAGATGCTGCGGGGAGAGGAGGTCGCTGCCATCCGAGTCTTCCAGCCTGACCGGATGTGAAGTCAAGGGGTGCGGTTGGTTCTTTTTGGGTCTACTTTTTGAAGACAAAACCAAGTTTATGGACTGAACAACAGCAGGCAACAAGCTCTGCAAATCGCGGCAGTCGCGTAAGTTTCTAAAATTCTATGGTCAAGCTGAGGAGCAAAGCCCGGAGTCTGCGGATTTCTGCTTCTGACTCCGCCTTCCTTAGAAGTCTTCACTTGGTAAGCGACTGGCCGACCTCCACCACCGCCACCACCACTACCAACACCTCCACCATGCCAAGACCGCTACTGTACCTCTGCTGCCAGCCCTATGAGTACCTTGCGACGCACCTACCCAGTTGCCCGGACACCGGTGTCAAACAATTCTCAAGAGAGGCACATCTGCAAATGGACCGCATGATGCGTACGCCTCATCAACAGTGACATTAGACGGGGAGCTAACCAGTTAACATTTCAGGCTCACTTACTTACACCCGTGATATGCGTATCATCGTCAGTCATTTTTCCCACCCGCTCCTATTGCTGTGTTCGTGTTGGTTCTATATACTGATGCTGTCGACCTTTTCATCGGAGCGGGTTGCATATCGGCAGGATGGCAGCAGTGGCACACCCTACATGGGGCTTTGCAAGTCGCCCCAAGCTGCTTATCGCTGTGACATGATGCGGTACTGCGGTACGTTCCCATTCCTCTTCCCAGCTCTCCCGCGCACTCAGGCTGACACAGTAGCGCAAGGTCGTCGCTCGCGGCAGTCAGGGCTTGTGCGGTGTCGATCTGGCACCTGAAATGGTGCGACAATTGCGTTAAATGTGCATGTCGAGGCTTGGGTGCTCTTTTCGCAGTAAGAATCCGTGGCCGCCCGAAGCAGCACAATCAGGTTCATCATCGCACTGCTAACAATTGCGGCCTTATAGCCGTACAGACTAGATGAGAACTGATATGAAAGACGGCTGCAGGCGTAGGCAGTGACAGTAAGCACGGTCCTCACAAAGACCATGCCCACCCATGCCAAGCATTAGACCGATAAATGAAAATGTCACATCATGGAAATTTTAGACTGCTTCAGTTTCTGTTCAGAGCATGCGGTACTGGCTGGAATCTTCAACAGCAAGTTAATACAGTAACATGCCTGAGTGCTTTACTACTCACTCCGGTGCCTCCACAACGCATCAAGTATCTCCTCGTATCGGCCATGAATATGGTCTAGTACTGCATGTTTATTGAGCTTCGATGTGCCGGCCGAGCAGTCCGGCAGAGCAGCCTCAGCAGGCTTGACAACGTCCTTCCTCGAAACCTAGGCCTTGCAAGCTCTTCTGGCTGTCCTGACGTGTTGGTCCTTGTTAGCGAGGAGTTCGTGGTCACGAGATCGCAGACAGAGCAGCTAGTGGCTACGACTATATCTGCTGCGTCGGCAAGGTATGCAGTGTCCAGGTGCCAGGAAGATCGCTGTCAGTTGCTCGTTGCAGTGGGTTTCTGAGCATCAGCAGCTTCTTTCTATTGTTGTATCTCCCGGCGCAGGCCAGATTTCAGGGCTTGGCTCCAGCAGTTGTTAAAGTAAGCTCCTACGAGTCAGCTAACCTTCGATGCGAAAGTCTAGAATATTCTCTGCTATGATCTTTCTTGACGCCACAGCAACTGCAAACGGCGCAACACGTGAAGCCGCGTGGATTCCACCACACAGTCCAGCCCCTGTGCTGGTAGTGTGGTTATGCAGCACAGCAGGCAACTGACATGTACTCAAGTAGGGCACTGGGCCAGCTCGTCTTGGACGCTGGTAAGCTTTGCAGAAGTATCCTGCAGCTGCAGTGCTCGTTTCTGCGCCTTTAAACACGTACACGCAACATCCGTGAACAAGTGTCTCGTCTGCAGGATCAGACAATGCAGCCTCCTGAATCCAAACGAAGAGCTCCACAACCAAGACCAGGCCAATCCGGCAAACATGAAATTTCAGCCCCTCCTCCAAGTGGTACTCGAGCTCCCTCCTCTTGTTTTCCTAGGAGCGAAATCGAGAGAGGCACATGCGAGCTTTGCACAGCTACGAGTGCGTCTCAGTATGCGTTTCTTAAGGACCATCCGCTAAAGAAGAGCCGACAAAATGCAATTCCATGCCGTTCATTCTGCCATAGGATCACTTGCTGCCAGCTTAGCATTGCAGCGATCCAGCTCCTGTCAAGGTAGTCCATGTGAGGAAAGTAATCTCGCCAGTACAATGCCACATGTGCCGGACCCGGAAATCCGAGTATCGAAACGTTGACACATCTCACAAGCCGGCACCTCGGACAAGGCCTCCACGGTCTCTTCCGCGTCTTTCTCCATCTCGGTGATCTCTGCAATCTGAGCCTCACCAGGAGACTTGAATGCTCCAACAAACAAGTACGGCTGCCTGGGATAACAGGTCAGGTCCGATACCACGCTCAACTTCTTTAAGAATTGCTTCCTCCAGCCCACCTCACTGCATACCTCCTCGGTGGACACTTGATGTTGCAGCAAGGTATGATGAATGGATGAATGCCATGACACGTTGTTCGCTGTCCAGGTTGCCAGTCGCATGAAATCAGGCTTGCGAGCTAACGATGTTGACGTGAGGAATGCAAGGCGAAGCATGGCAATAGCAGCAAAAGCCGAGGAGGGAGCAAGAGCGCAAGAAGCTGTAGCACTACTAGTTGCGGTGGCTGGAGTACTACTGGTAGTCAGAGTAGTAGCCTGAGTCGAAGTGGGAGTAGCAGTAGTATTACTTGTGGTAGCGGCAGACCAAAATGAGCAGAAAGAGCGGTGGTAACGATGATAGTAGCGGTAGCAGTGGCGGTAGCAGTAGTAGTAGTAGTAGTAGTAGTAGTAGTAGTAGTCGTGGTGGTGGTGGTGGTGGTGGTGGCAGTAGCAGTAGTTTTTTTCTTGGTCACCCACTTGGCACGCCGTCGACAGCACTGCAGGGAAGCAACAGCAGCAGTAGTAGTAGTAGTAGCAGTAGTAGTAGCAGCAGTAGTAACGGTAACAGTAGCAGTAGCAGCAGCAGCAATAGTAGTGGGAGGAGGAATCGCAACAAAGGCAGCAGCAGGAGATTGGCATGTGGTTTGTGGCTCCTTTCAGCGTTTGCGGCCTCGCTTCTGGACGGGAAGGCGAAAACAGACGCAGGTATGCACCGGATGCAAGAAATGGAACTGACATCGTCAAACAACATTCCGCCGGAGGCCTCCAGCTTGCGCCCGCGCTGGCCACTCTCCCACTCAATGGCGTCTACATCCTGGCACAAATCACGGAGGCGTTCTGCTCTCAGGCAGAGATAAAAAGCCAGTTCAGGGCGCTCCGAAGGTTTCTGAATCCTTTCCGACATCAAAGATGCAGAAGCCCTCCTGACCGATATCCACGAGAGCTTCGGCAGCTTCGATGGAGCGCTGCTCAAGCTCAGCCTGGACCTGCATACTCTTACCGCCAACAACAAACAAGGTTGTTGGATCTAGTAGTCTACTATACTCATATGTATGACCGAGAACTTGGCTTTTTGGTATACTTCTCTGATACAGTCTTTTTGACACGATACACACTCATAAATCCGCAGAAGTCTATGCGTACATGATTGTGCCCTTGAGGGGAACACTGAAGTGCAAATCCCGGCATTTGTCACGCAGCCTGGTTTAGCTGCTGGCTCACTTCATCGAGTTGAGCCTGCAACTCCTGGCGCAACTTCCAGCAAAAGGCATGCAGGTTTTCTGTGTCATTCAACATCTTAGGAGTGAGACTGGTCTGGAAGGCATCACTGTACAATTGACAAGGCTGCAGAAGCGCCTCAGGCGAGAACACCATCATGCCCCCTCCAACATGTCCGGAGGTCATCAGCGTTGTCAACAAAACAATCCAGTGCCAAGTGCCATACGACACCCTTCCCCATTCCAAAAAGGGCGAATGCACGGTGTGCATCTGGTTTGAATCGACTCAAGCACGACGAAGCATCGACGCCAGCACGACGAAGACAAGAAGCGCTACCGCCAAGTGAAACTCACAACACTTTCACGAAGACCAGAAGAAGACCCCTGTAGGTGCAGAATCCCTGGTTTGGTGAGGGAGAATCCAAGCAAACCCATTTCCGTCAGGCGAGGCATTGAGTCGACGGCCTGGATTTTGCGATCCTTTTCCGACCCGTCATTCTCACCTCGGTAAAAAATGGGTGCTTAAGGCCCGGAGGAAAAAAGCACTCGATGCTTCAGAGAACTGACAGCAAAAGGCGAGGCTCTGCGAGGGCATACCTGTCGCCAGGGTCTCAAGGCCAAGTCACTCTCTGACCTGGGCCGAAGCTCTTCTGCCACACTTTTGAACTCCTGCCGGACCGCGGCGGTGGCCAAAAGAGCATGATAACCAAATGGCAAAAAGACGCATCCATTCTGCCCAGTTCTGCCCGCTGACACACAATCATCAAGTTGTTGAGTCGAAGGTTTCGGCTTCAATGAGCTACTCGAGCTACTACGACGCTCATTGCATCTGAGGCTTCCAGGGGTTTTGCTTTGTGAATTTCTCGGACATGGCGGCTAGGGGAAGCTGGGTCATGTTGCGTTCAATCCTGATGCAGTTTCCGAACTGGACTTGCAACCGACTCCAGCAGAAGTTCTAGAAAGTCTATGGAGCCAGTACATCTGTCCTCGGCTGGTGACCCCTGGGATGCTTTTGACAGTTCAGTCGTCAAACGATCCACTTCCACCTGCGTTTGCTCCAGTTTCTCTGCCTGCGCCGCAAGCTCCCGTTCCTGCCGCTCCTCCAGATCTGTCAGCTGTTGGCACTTCGTCTCAACCTGTAGTTCCAGCACCTTCTTCTGACTCTCCGCCTGAGCCAGCTCGGACAGCGCACTTTGCAGCTTGTCCCTCACGGAAGAATGCTCCTTCTCCAGAAGACGGTACTTTTCGTCGCTCTCGGAGCGTTGCCTTGCCATCTCCCGATTGGCTGAAGCCGCAGCTTCAGCTGCCTCCCAACCCTTCTCCTCACGTTGCTTCCGGGCCTCTTCTACATCCTGCAAGGCTTCCGCCAGTCGGGCTTCGAGCACCTGTTTCTCGGCCACGGCAGCCTCCAAACGAGCCCGGGAGGCGCCAAGCTCACCGGTCACAGTGCCCAGCTCCTTCTGGAGCTGACACCTCTGTCGGCCATCTTCATGTTCTGAAGCGTGTAGTACCTCCTCAAAACCAACATCCGCAGAGTACGGCACAAATGTCGCCTCGAGTCTTCTTCCGTCTGCTGCTGTGACACGAGTTTCTAGTTTGTTTGCCCCACGCTGCGCAGCATCAGCCTCAATCCTTTGCTTGGCAAAGTGGTCGCTGATAGCCACGAGCTGTTGCTTCAATGCCGAGCATGCCAGCGCAGTTGCTTCGATTTCGCTCCTGCTTTCTTGGAAGCCAGACTCGGCTGCCGCAGTGGCCTCTTTCTCCTCTTGCACATGTGACTGCAAGGATTTCAATTCAAGGACAACCTTCTGGAACTGCTGCATGATTTGAGCCAGTTCTGTCTGAACCTGGCCCAGTCTCTGCTGCTCGAGGGCAGGATCCACTTCATGAGCTGAGCCAGAATGTGATCCGAAGCTGCGTGCAGCTTTCACATCCTGATCTATTAAAACTGTCAGTTTCTCTGCCTGTGCCTGCCGCTCCTCCAGATCTGTCAGC